CTCCTGATGATCAGGCTGGATTTCCCCTGCCAGGATGGTGACTCTTTTTTATTTTTCAACTTGCTGGGCTTTGGACACAGGAGCCTCAAGTGCCCAGTGGCAGTCAGAAGTAACTTAGTGGGATTCTTGTTGTGTCCCCGGTGGAGTGTTCTCCCTTTGGGAAACATGACCTCTAATCCTGCAGTCCATAAGTGCAGATTTGGGAAGCACGATTCCCTAGATGGGTTGTTGGGAGCAATGGGAAGTGGGGTTGCTTCTGCTTCCACCCTTTGGATCTCTGATTCATGAGGTTTTCCTACTATGGACACAGCACCATATAAACTTTGGTTCAAGTTGTATACAGGGTCCCGGAGTCTGGCTTTCTATCCTCACAAATGATCATCTCCCCCTTCGATGGGTGGCACCTTGTGGGTAGCATAGAGTATGTGGTGTGACCAGTGGCTGCCATGGGTCTGGGGCCACTCTCCCACCTCTTTTGCCATCATTTGTGATGTTATGTGGAATGCCATGCAGGAAGACACCCACTGTAAGCACGCTGATAATAGCGCTGTCTACGGCCCTGTGAACAAGAAGGGCAAACCCATACGTGGAACGTGGTTTTATTCCTGTTAGAACAAATTGTTGGCCCCTCTGGGTGGAAGGAGCCCAACATCACCAACCTGCTACCTTGTGACTAGCTGTTCTCCCTGAGGATGATGCCATAACGGAACCTAAGCCTAGATCTCTATTGGTGGGTGGGACCTTTAGTGATGGCAACAGCAAGATCAACTTTGATAAGTGGAATTCCATGCTGTTGGCCCTTGTGTGACCTCCATCTCTGCTACCATGGTTATTTTGTTCATGGCCCATGGTACCAGCCCAGGGTGATCAAAGATAGGGGAATAATATCAACTGATTGCATCATTTTGTCTACTTGGTTGCTTAATTTTACTTCTGTATAACATAATATCATAATATTCACACTTCGTGGACACTTCACCCACATGTCTCTTCTCCAAATTTACTTATCTTTCATCTTCCAGTCTTTTCTTTGCAGGTCCCTGACTAACCCAACCAGGTCATTCCCCACTGCCCGTAGGTCTGTATGCACTCTAACCTTGGTCTACTGCTCTGTCAACACAAAATGGATGACCAGGTACACTGCCAGAGTGAGGCTGTAGTGCAGTTGCTATCCATTTGTAGTTTGCACCCCAGCATAAACCCATCCTAAAACCAAGCTCGGGCTTTTACCTCACTCTTCAGCTATTTCTATGGGATCCCCCATATGGCCATAGGTGTGAACTGAAGACAAGGCATTGATGAAACCGAGGTGGCAATGATATAATACACCAATGTGATATTCTGTAGAATGTATAGACAGTCTAGATCTCTTAAGACTACATCCTGATGGAGAGTGAAGAGTTAATATAGTCCTGGGCAAAACTATACATGAATATTGATGTTCATCCCATGTAAATGCAAACTGTTTCCGCTCCTCTTTTCTGATTGGAATAGAAAGCAATACATTTCCCAAATCCTTGGTCACACACCATGTACCTGAGGCCCTATTATACTGCTCTAGCAAACATACCACATCTGCTACTGCAGCTATAATTGTGACTGCTTCTCAGTTGAGTTTATGGTGGTGTGTTGCCATCTTCCAAGATTTAACTGGTGAAGTAGAGCTAGGTTGAGGACCACCACCACTGCATCCTTTGGATCCTCAAAGGTGGCACTAATTTTCACCATCCTCCCCTGGATGCAATATTACTTGGCCAGGGAAAGGGCAGTTTCATAGTCTTCTACTTGGCTTTCTCTACAAAGATTGCTCTTACCTCACAGGTCAAGGACTTGATGAGGGAATTGTGCCAACTTCCCAGTATGTCTATCTCAATATACATTCAGGGACCAGGCAAATGACCTCAGAAGGGTCTTCAGACCCAATGGACACTTGACCAAGACTCCATTTGTTGCCTGGTTCTTGAATATTTCCATGCTAGCAGGAAGACCATGATGACACTTCAATCTCAATTCCAACTCTGACCTTCGAAATATTTGTATCTTCCTTTTTTCCTAGTGTACTGTTACCTGGGTAAATGGCCATTGGGCCCTTTGAAGAAGGGCTGGGAGGTCACTCTGTGTATTCTTGCCATAGTGCTGCAGGGAACCTGGCCACCTCTTCAGTTACTGGGTTCCAGGTTCAGACACTGATCAAGGAACTATACAAGTTTATTGGGGTGACTGCACTCTGCCATCCCAGTACATCCTTGATTTCTTCTGATGGTGTAAAGAGGATGCTACTTGTAGTAGTCAGACTCAGCTGACCCCATGGGCTCTCTGGAGTGAAAATGGCCCATCACAGTTGTCCTACATTTGGCCAAAATGGCCTGGCTTTTATTCTACCTCCATCAGTCATTGGATACGGGCTTCCCTGGGAAGCATATGCAGACTCTGAAAGAGGCCACAGCAGAAAGTTTTCTGCTAACAGTATTTCCAGCAGCTGGGACAAGTTCTTTCTTGAAGGGGATATAGGAGGCACATCTCAGAATCCAGCACAATTGATAGAGTGAGGTTCCTGAGGATGTGAAGGATAGTGTCAGAGCACAAGTGGCTAGATTAAACTTTGAAAAGAGTAAGGGTATCTCTCACTGTAATGAGGAGTAGAAAGAGATAAGAATGGGATTAGATGAAGATGAAGGTTTAAATAGAGGGACAAAGAATTGGGGAAATTAAACCTGATAACCTCTATTTTCTTTGCAGAGCCAGAAGCAGAGTCTTCTGCTGAACTTGGGCTTGGGTAGGGTGAGGGCTTGAAGAGAACAGTTCTCAAGGAAAAGGAGAGAGGACATAATCTAGAAACTGCAGGGCAGTGTTTAAGGGGCAGCTAATGTTGGGGGGCATGATTGGTTGTGACCCGTACCTGCTGGGGTCATTTGATTTTCCTAGCGGTGCTCAGAGCCCAGATGTAGGAGCAGAGAGGAACACACTTCAACCTGTACTGGGTGGATGTGGGGAAGGAAAGTGAGGCAATAAGGTGTTAACTATTTAATTTCCCTAGAGAGTTAAGATCTTTAGAAACAAGCTCTCCATTTTAAAAATTGTATTTGTTTTCTGGAGATACAAAGCATTAGAGGATATTAGAGTTGAGATATGGGTGAGATCATCTGCACCATTAGTTCAATTTATCAATTTGTTCTTTAATAGATCATGCTTTTGGTGTTTTATCTGTGAAATCTTTGTCTAACTAAAGGTCACAAAGGTTTTCTCTTATTTCTTCTAAAAGTTTTATAGTCTGATGTTTTATGTTTAGGTGCATGAACCATTTGAATTTATTTTTATGCATGATGTGAAATATGAATTGAGGTTCATTAGAACTTAAGAAAATGCAAATCACTGTGGGAAACAATTTGTCAAGTTCTTGAAAAGTTACACAAATAACCACCATATGATACAACTATTCTACTCCTAGGTATTATCTACCAGAAATGAAAGCATATGTCCATATAGAGACTAACCTGTACACATACATTCACAGTAGCTTTATTGTAATATCCCCAAATGGCACATAGCTCAAATGAACATCAACATGTGAATAGATAAATAGTGGTATAACCATACAATAGAATACTGCTCAACAATAAAAAAGAATGAATCATTTATATACACAACAACCCAGATGGATCTCAAAATAATTATGAGTGAAAGGCAGACACAAAAATTATACATACTGTATGATTCCATTTATGTAAAACTCTAGAGAATGCAAACTAATCTGTAGTGAAAAAATGCAGACCAGTGGTTGTGGTGGGGGGCGGGGGTTGTGGGAGGGAAGGCAGGAAGGATTACAAAGGGGCTTGGGGAACTGTTTAGTAGTGGTGGACATGTTCACTATCTTGATTGCAGCTATGGTTTCATGGGTTATATATATGTGTCAAAACTTTGATTTGTATACTTTAAATATGGCAGTTGTATGTTAATTACACCTTAATAAAGCTGTTTAAAAATTGACCTAAAAATTAACCATATTATTGAATCATTAATAATTAGCAAATAGAACAAACCCATAAAAATATCCTTTAAAATTTTAATTTAGTCAACTTAGACCTATTAGAGATTTAAAAAGCAGAACTATGATAGTTCCGACTTAAAATCCAGCAGTTAGTTGTAACAGAATCTGACAAATTGGGCCCTGTTTGCAAACATTCTCTCTTAATACACTGAAGGATTCTTTATTTCAACTCTGTAGTGTTTCAAAGTGACTAAAATTAAAGGCACTCAACAAGGATAATAATGGCCACCATTCACTGTGCTTCCCATATATTTACTTATAATTCTTTCTACTTCTCTGAGAGGTACCTATTCTTATATCTATTTTGTAGATGAGCAAACTGAGTCCCAGGTAGGTTAAAAGAGTATTTCAAGGCCCACGCTTGTACATGACTGCAGCTTGAGGAGGTGGGAGGGGTAGGTCTGAATCCAAACTCCCATCAACTCAGTCCACGTAATTTTTCTTTTTAGAGGCCTTTCCCCAATATTGTTGCCATTCTGAAGGCTAGCTACATTCAAGGCATCTGAGTTAAAAAGCTGCCAGGAAGTGGAGGATTTTGGTAAACCAAACCCAAGTCAGTATGATGGGAGGTGGCTGTTTTCGGGGTGCTTAAATTATTAAACTACATAATTAAAACGGGATTGTCTTCGCAGGGCGAAGTGTCACAACTTGGGAAGACTATGCGGCTAGCTCCAGCACATCGGTGCTATTAGTCTGCACTAATTGGCGTGGAGAAGAAGAGAACAAGTGAGGGCGAGTTCTGCGGGGCAGCAGTGGGCTCCTGAGGTCAAGGCGAACGCCGGCGCTGCCCCTGCTGGTGACGAGAGCGAGTTTTGCTGCCGGTCCAACGACGTACTGAAGAGCCGCGAGTAGCCGGCAGGACTTTGCCGCCAGGGCTTTGCCTGCACCGACAGGGGGAGTTGTCCGGCCCCGTCCTCATGGGCCCCGCCCACTCCCACCCTAAGCTCCACCCACTCCCGGGACCGAAAGCGAAGGCGCGCTCGGCAGCTCGGCGCTCTCCTGCTTGTGTCTAGCGGGACCCGCGACAGCACACCCGACGCGGGTCGCGGCGCTTGGGGCCCGGCGCCCGCCGGCGGCATGGAGGGGCAGTGGGCCACCGCGGGCGGGGACGTCTCCCTGCATAACTTCAGCGCGAGACTGTGGGAGCAGCTGGTTCACTTCCACGTCATGCGGCTGACAGACTCGCTCTTCCTGTGGGTGGGAGCGACACCGCACCTGCGCAACCTCGCCGTGGCCATGTGCAGCCGCTACGTGAGTGCCTGCCGGGGCTGGGGCGAGCGGGGACGGAGGAAAGGGGAGAGAGAGTCTAGGGGTGCGGGAGGAGAGGGGGCGGTCCCGAGGCCGCCGGGCCGGTGGAGGGTGGGGGTGACTGGTCCGGAAAGTGAGCGAGGAGTCTGGGCGCTGGCGGTGACCTCAAGGCGCCGGCGTGGGCACCAGGTTTTTGGGGGACTTGGGGCCCTTGGGGCTCTCTAGAAAAGTTCCTGTGATATCTTAGGGAACGGGCTGAGGGTCGGTTTGGACATGCACCGCCCCGAGGGTAACTGTGCGGTCAGGCTAGCACGTGGAACTCCAGAAGGGCCCCTTCCTCCATTCCTGCACCTCTGCTGGCTCCTCTCTCCATCTCTAGTTGGCGTGTCCAAGGGCTTCATCGTGGGACCTCTTGCTGCCCGGTTACGCTCGCGCCTTGGGTGATGGCATCCACTTCTTAGTTGTCATATCTCTGTATTGACCACACCGACATTTATCTATGTTTCCAGTTCAGACCTCTTTCTTGAACTTCAGACTCTTGTGTCTCCACTTAGAAGTCTAATAGACATCTCATACTAGACACGTTCAAGACCAAACTCTTGACCTCTTCCTTCAAACCTGCTCCTCAACCCGCCCATCTCTGTTAATGGTAACTCCACCGGAACCTCGGAGTCATTCTTGATTTCCCTCTTCCACACTCCACATGTGGAATGTCAGTGAATCTGTGAGCACTGCTGTCAGTCAGAACACACTTGTCTATGTTAAGTCAAATAGATCTGACAGAGAAAAATATCCCATGATTTCACTTGTGTGGAATATAAAAAAGAACAGGCCTGCAGCATTTCTCCTCCTTGGTTAATTCCCTCATTTGCTTCCAGTATTACTTTCTTAGAGCTACTGTAACAAAGTATCACAAACTGGGTGGCTTAAAACAATAGAAATTTATTTTCACAGTTCTGGAGGCCAGAGTCTGAAATTAAGGTTTTGGCAGCACTGGTTTATGCTGGATGCTCTGAGGGAGGAATCATCTCATGCCTCTCTCCTACCTTATGGTGTTGTTGGCAATCTTTGGTGTTCTTTGGCTTACAGCTTCGTCACTCCAATCTCTACTTCCAATGACACATGGCCTTCTTCTCTGTGTGTCTCTGTTTATCTGTGTCTTCTTATAAAGACACCAGTCATAAAAGATTAAGGGTCTACCCTACTCCAGTATGACCTCATCTTAAGTTATATCTTAAATATATGTGCAAAGACCCTATTTACAAATAAAGTCACTTTCACAGGTACTAGGGTTAGGACCTGGACATATTTTTTTGGAGGATACAGTTCAACCCACAACAGTGCCTTATAGCCAGTTCTGTTTGGGGCAGCGGACTGCAGTTAGATGTTGTCATTCCTCTGCTACAGAGCTTTCATGAGAGAAACTCAGAGCATAGTCCATAGATTTCACAGTGATCCTCCAGGCCCTGTTACCTGAGAGAGCGTCCTGCTCCCACCCACCTCCCTCACTTGGTGGCTTTAGCACATTGGCATGCCCCCAGCTGTTGCTCCCTCTGCAGTTTTTTGTTGGTGTCTGTTGTGGTGGTAAGGTTTGTTTGTTTTATGAGTTTTTGTATCCCTAGTGCCTGACAAGCTGTTCATTAAATCCTCGTTGAATGAATGAGTGAGGCACTCTCAGGGAACTCCCCATTTGCTAAGGAGTTCTACTGGTAACCTCAGCCAGTCAGGATTGTGATCACTGAGGGGCTCCAGGGATAGTAAGAAATCAGAGGATCGAGCCATCAGGCAGGACCTGAGCAAAGCTTTGGGAAGGAGACAGCCTCTGAGTAAGACTTCTGGATGTCCTCACATAGTATCCCTCTTCCCTTCCGGTGTCCCTTCTTGTATGCCCTTTTCCTTCTTTCTGTTCTTTTCCTGTGTGTGTTTTGTTTCTCTTCTGGTGGGTAGCAGCAGGTGAGTCTTTGGGAAGGTGGCAGTTCCAGGTCTTTTTTCATTGGAGGCGAGGAGGAGGGCCTAGAAGAGCAGGGGGGTGATGGGCAGGGCTGTTTGTTTGTAGGTCATGGCACCCTGGAGTCTCTTCACCTTCTTTCTTTCCTAATCCTTAGGCTGTAGTCATTAACAGTGTGTACGGCTGTGGTACGACCAGGCATCATTTCCTTGAATCAGTTTCAAGGCTCTACTTGTGGACTGCTTTGGTGGTCTGACCACTTGGTAATCATAGATCTCAGTATGGTGTATTGTGTCAACTGGAAAGTCACCCTACATCAAGACTGGGGCAGGAAAAGGAAAAGAACCATTCCTACTGACTGACCACATTGTGTGCTTGGACACTGCCCTCCAGGGGCTGAGACCAGTCAGCTGGAGAAAAGAGGTACAGGCCATAGCTTAGGCAGGGGACAGACTGTGGCCTGTGGGCTGGCCCACGTCTACTTTTATGATAAGGTGTATCAGGACACAGCTATACCCATCCATTCAGTAGTGTCTGTCACAGTTTTTGCACTTTGATGGCAGAATTGAGCAGTTGCTATTGGACCTGGTGGTCCATAAAAACTTTACTGTTTATTATTTGGCCATTCTTAGAAAAAGTTTACTGACCCATGAGTGGAGGATGGCACAAAAGGGTCTGTGAGGTCTCCCCCTTCCTCCCTACCGCCTAAACCCTAGCATGTAAGACTGGACCATATAGAACAAAATCACATAATTCTGTTGCTCTTCTAGCTGGCTTGCCTTGCATCAGGCAGGTCTGATTGTGATGCCAAGAAAGGCTGTAGAACAAGGATGACGCAGGGTCCCACTAACATGAAGAAAGCTGGCCTGGGACCTGGGAAGAGGGCCCATGGGATCCTGTGTGCTCAGATAATCTAGGGTGCATCTAGCCTACCTGCATAAGTGGAAAGTAGTGCTCCAGCCATGGTAAAACCAGCTAGACATTTGTCTGCCTGGAGACCAGCTTGGCATAATATGATTTCAGAAATAATGAAGTATTAAAAGTAAGAATATCGGGTTTTTAGTTTTGTTTTTGGTCAGAAAAAGCTGCCCAGTTAAGATATATTTTCTATTTTCAGGAGGTTTAACTATACTGTTAATAGTTAAATGTTGAACTTGAAATCTGTAAATAGAAAATTCACTAAGATCATATTTTTGTATCTTTTTCAAGAAAAAAAAGCATGTAGTAAATGCTTTCATTGTTATCCTGTGTTTTCTGATAGTCTTTTATAGAACTGAACAAATTCTGTCTCATATTGAAGTGACTTTGAACCTTTAGATAAGGAGCAGTCTCTGATTTGTGCTCAGGATAAAAGTAATTTTGGCAATATTATAAGTTAGTGGGTTTATTATTTTTTTTTTCTTTTAAGCTAGGCCTTTTAAATGGTAAGGGGAGTTCTTTCCAAAGTAATTGGAAGTAAGATTACCTCTAGATTTCAGAAGGGCCACATTTGTTTATCTTTAGTTTTATTGCTTATCTGAAATGAAGATTGGCCAAGCGTATTCAAAAGTTTTTATTTCATTATTTGGATGCTGATGGCTGGTGCCCATTTGCAAAGTCACAGGGCCCTTCTTGACCCTGAAGAGCCCAGACATCCTTAGGGGAATGGAGCTGTGTGTTCTCTTACAGGTCCAGATGAGATTAGGCTCCTGCCTTCTCCACCTGCTGGCTAACATGGGGTGAGGGACCTGGAGGCACTTGGCACCTGGACTCTGATGGCTTTCTTCTTGCTGTGGCCTTAATGATCCTACTGGTTTCAATGTTAGTCGTAATACTGCCCGTCAGCATACTTTGGAGTTTCCAACACTAAAACAAGCCCTTTATATGAAGTAAGTCCTAGAGCTTAGTGATAGCATTATGATGCCAGCTTCAGGTGACTTCTCTTCATCTCTCCCATCTATATGATCTCATATGCGTTAGAGGGTCAACCTACCTGGCTGTTGACACAGATGCCAGACCTTCTTTCTCTTGGTTAATGTGTCTAACTCCCCAGAACCTGCTCTTACCACCCTCATGAAGAATCAGAAGTCACAGAAGATTGGCTGATGGAGAAGCAGCATTGTGTTCTGTTTTCCTTTTAGGACTCCATCCCTGTGTCCACCTCCCTCCTCGGAGACACTTCTGACACGACCTCCACTGGCCTTGCCCAGCGCTTAGGTATGTACCCACGGTGGTCCTGACTATTGCATGGAACCATGAGGCAAGTCACTTTAGAAAAAAGAATCTTTATACTGAAAGATAGATGAACTTATCACTATAGCATAAGCGCAGACCTTTGTATACTGGGTCCTCTTTAAGGAGAGTATCTCCATGCCCACATGGTACGAACACTGTCTTAGGGATAGTGTGTTCTCAGGAGACTCCCACGTTGTACCTTGGCTGTCATCCAAGCCAATGAGTGACAGGTGATTTGGCTCCCTTCTCTAAGCACATTACCTCCTTATGGGTGGAGAGTGTGAATGATGCCCACAATGCTCCTGGGCCTCAGTGGGGCCTGTGGAGCAGAGTACCAGCAGTGCAAGAGGGTTGTCCTTTATTTCCTGTGACATCATTCAGAGTTCAGAAGGGAGATTGGCCTGGCCAGAGGGAGGCATAGAGTCAGTGTTAAGCAAGAACATGAGGTTGAAGGCTCCATCCTCTCCCGCACTGCAAACACATACTTCTTTTAAATACCCAGATAGTTCAGGTAAGGACAACATGTGTTCTGCCCTTGGCCAGTGCGCACGATCAGCAGGTCATTAGAGGGTACCCAGGGACCTCGAACAGTAGGGCAGCCTCTGTCTCCTCTTCAGTCTTTGTTGTCACCAGTGTTCCCAGACAGTTCAGTTCTAGAGCCCCCGTGTCCTGGTGCTGGTGATGTACAGTGAATGAGGCCCATTTTAGTTGTGTTGACAGTCTATCCACTGGATCCATCATAAGTGGAATGTACCTATGTAAACAGGATAGCCACACAGTTCAGGTGGAGCCTAGGCGGTGTGGACAGGTTGAGGGTAGGTCATACTAGACTTGCCACACTGCGTTCTGTGTGTGAGTAGGGCAGAGACCATGAGGGCGGTGGCAGCAGCATTTTAGGAACATCCACAGTACTTTTTTTTTAGCCTGAAGTTAGAGAAACCTGACTAGTAAGTTATTTTGGTAACTTCTTACTAGGAAGTAATTTTAAATTTACAGAAAAGTTGCAAAAAAAGGTACAAAGAACTCCTACTTAGCCTTCACCCAGATTCCTAGTTCTTGTCATCCTCTCTTTAGGTTCACATTGTTTTTTTCTGAACCACATGAAAGTAAGTTGAAGACATGATTGCTTCCTCGTACTTCACCGTGTATTACCAATGTTTGAGGGGTAACACCTCTATATCAAATGGACCACTGTGTGCCCTGCCTGGTCCGATGAAGACATGGGAGTGTTCATAGGTCTAGAAACAGAAAACTGGGTGGGTGGCCACAGTGTGGATGACAGAGTCTGTTAGTGCCAATAAAGTAAGATGGGCTTTAGGGTGTCCTTGGATGGAGGCCTAGTAGTTTGTATGCAAAAAACTAGGATTCTTTTTGTTTTGTTTTTGAGGTTTGTGCAAATGTTGGGGCTTTTTAAAATTAACTTTTCCCCTCATATGGTTTACATCAATTTATAATCTAAATCAATTGAAATATAGATAAATAATAAATATCCTTACCAACTTATTAAAGTCAAATATTAATGAAGGGTTTTATCCTGCCTGATTGAGCAAAAACTGGCAGCTTTCAGCCACTGTCCAACAAGGACAGGCACATGGAATAAACTTGAAAAATTAGTGGTGTGGTGTGACTGCTGGCATCACCAAAGGCTGGTAATGCTGAGATTACAAACAGGCTGTCCAGTGCAGCCTTGTGCCGTTTAAAATACATTATTATTATTATTATTACTATTATTATTATTATGCATATTAGTTGAAAATGCATTAACCATCATCAGTTGTCTAGAGGGGTAATGAGAAGAGAGCGATGTCCCAAAACAGTATCGTGCATGGAAGATGAAAGGAAGTTGGAAAATAAATGATCTAAAGGGTTCAGAGTAACCTTGGAGGTATTGGAGGGCTGTAGCGTGGATGGGGCCCCCCTCATTCTGTGTGGCTCTGGAGGGCAGAGCTGGTCTGCTAGGCAGACGATACAGGCAGATAGTTTTGCTCCCTGTAAGACTCTGTCTTAGCAAGTAGAGCAGTTGGAATCAGAGTATCCCACCTTGGGGACAGGGAATTTTCTGCCACTGAATGAGGGCAGGCTGAGTGGATGTGACTTGACAGGCCCCAGCTTCACCTCTCCTCACCTCAGCACCTTTTTGCCTTTGATGCTGAGGCTGTCTTGGTCATCTGAAGTCTGTGGGGTGGGAGGGTAGGGTGCATGCTTCTGTGGGGAGGAGTTTGCACCTGCCCTGTGTGTGGGGTGAGGCCGAAGGCAGAGGCCCCAGCAGTATTTGACTGTTTTAGGCTTACTGCTCAACTTCAGGATATTTGTCTTGTCTTTCAGATTGTGGGCATGTGATTTTGCTTGATTTCTATAATTGGAGCAGTATACCTCGACTATTACTGGTTCTGTAGAAAAGGGCTAAAACATATATTCAACATCAAATTGAAAATTAGACATTTGTGTGTATGTACAGGCACAGAAATGTAGAAGTGTAAGATTATCTCTGGGAGCAGGGCAGAATTGGTAGAGAGGGTGGTACTGAAAGAGAACTTGAATATTTTATCTTAAATACTTTAATATTATTGGTGTTTTTGCAAAGTAAAACAAACCAACCCTTTATGTAGGGCAGTGGTTCTTAAACTTTAGTATTTAGATCCCCTACAGGGCTCGTGGGCATAACTCACTGGCCCCAACCCCAGCCTCTCTGATTCAGTGAGCCTAGGAGGGAAGGTTGAGGGGGAAGCGGGCCTGAGAATCTGCATCTCATGCTGCTGATATGAGGGCCACACTTTAAGAACCACTGTTTTAGAGACTAGGAAAGGATCTAAATGACTTTAGTTTGCATTTGCAGCAGCTACCTGTGAAGAGTCATAAAAATTAGAACTTTCTTTTCTCCCTAAAACTCCATTCTTTTTCCAAGCATTTCTCAGCTGTAAAGTAGGTCTGAGGCACATAGAACCTCCAAGTATTTCAGTCATGCCTGTGTCAATGTGTTTTCTTTTTAGCCAGGAAGACCAACAAGCAGGTGTTTGTCAGCTATAACCTTCAAAACACAGACAGTAACTTCGCATTACTTGTAGAAAACAGGATCAAGGAAGAAATGGAGGCTTTTCCTGAAAAGTTCTAGCTGAGTGGCAGAAGTGAGGATTTGTAACTTATGTACAATATACATTTAAATAAATGGATTGAATTTCACTGTTTGTCACCAGGGTAATGTGTTTATATTTTGTTTTAAAGAGCTAATCTTATTAATTTTCCTTCTTCCCCTCACCAGAGTATGGGCCAAAAGGCTATAATTGATCAAGCTGGGGAAGGAGAAAAGCAAAATGGGTAGTAGTTTCCTTGTGACTGCTCAGTAATAGAGAAAAGGGGTTAAAATGAGATTTTGTTAGTATTGAAGGAGGCTAATTAGATTAAAGGGTTAAATTAGTCATGACTCTGTTATGTCCATTTCTAATTAGAATTAACGTAGTAAGTCTTATAAAATATGCTTCAGGTTGTCTCCTTTCCTTTCCGTTCTAGCCAAGTCCTTCCCCGGCAAGTCTCCTCCTGCTGTGTTCTTTTGGGCCTGGGTTTGAGCCCCGTTCTTCACGCTCACTAGATTTGTGGTTTTGGTGGTCTCTAACCTCTCTGGGCCCTGTTTCTTCACCTATAAAAGGGGAATAATCTCCACTCTGCTGGGTTATTGTTAGGATTAAATACACAGAAAAACTTGGCAAACTATAAGTGCCATGGCAATTAAGATGTCAATTTTGGGATTAAAAAAAACGCAAAAAAAAAGAAGTCAATTTTGGTTTTACCTACTTCATTTTTGTGGATTCAAATGCTTGCTCTTTCTGTTATTGTCTTTCCTTCCCCCCGCCCCGGTCTCAAGTATTTGCTTTGGTCATCCTTAAGCCTTAGCCTTTTTCTGCTTGCTGCTCGAAGTGGATTCCAATCTTTCTAGTACCACATGCTGCACATTTTTTTGACACCTTTTTCCAAAAGCCAATATTTCACAGGTCAGTGGCTTTGAACTCTGGCTTCACATTCGAATCTCTAGGGAATTTTTACAGATTACCTATGCGTGACCCTTCCCCAGAGACTCAGATGGCCTGGGGCCCAGATTTGGTTGGCTTTAAAAGCTCCCAGGTGCTTCTCAGCACAGGCAGGGTTGAGGACCACTGTAAAGAACTTTCTAATCTGTAAGTGTCTGGATCCCTCTTGTAACTAGAAGATAGTTTAGGGTTCTGTAACATGTTTCATGCAATGGCAAAAGGCTCGCATTAAGGCACTGGTAAGCAGCCAGAGGCGGTGACACTTTGGCCAGGACATATGGCACGTCAAAGGAGTAGGTCTGGAGTTTAAGATGCTTCCCTCCTTAGCAGACTTCCTATGCTAACCTCTGAGGCCTCAGCCATCAGCATTGTAGCTTAGAAGCACAGTGGGCACCTCTCTAGGAAGAGTAAGTAACACAAAATCAGGCCTATGGAGAGAAGAGTTTGGTATAAATACTTTATTAAAGAAACATTGTTTTCTTGTTAAAAAAATACTACATTAAAGAAGAGCGTTTTGGGTTATCAGTCTTTCCTAACAGAATCACAGTGTAAGATAATCATTTTTTGACCTAAGAACTTGCAGGCCACAGATTAGCAGGACATCAATATGCAAGAGAAAAGAACTCTTAAATTTACTGATGGCCCCCACAGGTGGTCTGAGAGGGGCACTAAATAAAGTTATGTTTAATCCTGTCTCTGCCGCCCCAATGCCTGCCTTTAAGACTAGGACTCTGCAAGCAGATGAGAGGCCACCCACTGTTCCCAGGCTGAGAGAAGACTTGGTTTACAGAGGCGCTAAAGTAGGGACGCAGCAAGATCTGAATAAAGTTTTTATTACTTGTAGTCAATGGTCATGAAATGCCCTCCATTGGATACTATCAGATGAGGTAGGGAAGACATTCTAGAGGAAATCTGTTAATGGGGCAACATTTTTATTTCTGTACATTTACATACAAATTTTCCCCAAAGGTACAACAGATGTGACATCATGCAGACATTTAGCTTTGAACGACAGTTCAGAATCTATTTAGGCTTGTGCTATGAATGAGCACCTCCAGAGTGATCCCGGTTGACATGTACAGTAACACGGTTCTTACTAGAAACCTCAAATGTTGGGGTTGCAGAAAGGACAAGAAGGAGGGAACTATTCCCACTAGACATAACACACTGTGCTGCTTTTCCAAAACCCAATACATTAAAGTGAGGTGTCCTTTAAAAGAAAGGGTTGAAGTGTGGGCCTTCCCCTGCACGTGCGTGTGCCCGTGCGCCACCTAGAGGCTGGGTGATGCCATGGTCACACAATTCATTTAATGGCACTTCAGTCATTTCTTGTTTGGCTCTAGGAAGTGGTAATGTTTGAGTGCAACACTTCCTTTACGAGGTTTATTTTTGTTTTCTGTTCTGTGACCAGAACAACTTACCAGCCCCTTCCTCTAGTTGTGGTTATACTCTTTTAGAAAACAAAACATTTAAAACTTTTTCCTATATGTCCTGGGTACTAGTATTTAGGGTATTTGATAAGAGTTATTACTGACTTCTGGAAAAGAACAAAATGAAGAGCTAGCTATTCAGCCCTGTCTCAGGTGTTCACATTTGTGTATAACTTTTGAAAGGGGATCACAGCTCCCTGATAGGATAGCAGGATGCAGGAGTAGCTGGTGCAGGGGAGTAGCTGCAGCACATACCTCGGGATGTTTCTCCGGGCAGTGGGAGTGGAGGTGGTAGGGAGGGTGGACTTGAAAATCGCAGGTGCCTGAGAAGTGTTTCCTTACTGACCACGAAGGAAACAGGACTGAGGAGTCCAAGCACGATCAACGGGTGCTAGGGAGCTGGTGGCCGCAGCTCCCTCCCACACAGAGCAAGGCAGGACGTAACGTGTATCAGGCTCAGGTGGGCCCTGGCTGCCTTGCCGATTTGTTGTGGGATTTTATGGGGCTCAGCCCACAGGGAAGCTTTTCTGCTTTGGCTACATTTCATAAAGGTGTTCCTCAAGAGCTTCATATATCCTTAAGCTGAACCAGCAACAGAAGAGGAGCTCAGCCTAATCCTGAGGCTGCTGGGAGAGAGGAGCTGAGGGACCTCTTTGCCAAGAGAGATCACCTACCGATTGTTGGCAAGTCAGCCTCATGTGCATCTGCTAGACCTTGGACCCGAGAGCCCAGTCCTCATAGTTAGCTTCTTTTCTAGTCATCCATGAGTTAGTCCTATTGCTGAAGTTGACAGTGCTGACTGCCTCCATTGGACCAGTGTTTTTGTCATTTAAAATGGAGATCAGAGACCCTGGAACAGGAGTTTGTAAGTGCTGTGCCTTGCCTTCACTTCCCCAGAGATTACGAGCAGCACTCTACAGCTCAATCCGTTTCTTAAAGATCTCTGCGACCAGTGAGAGAATACTCACAAGTCCTTCTGCAGTACAGTAAAGGGACTGCAAGGTGTCCTAGTGCTTGATGGATGATGGATACAGACATACACCTGGCGAGGTGCGGGCCCGGGACCTCTCTGGCTCCTTCCCACCTTCCTCAACTGCCCAGTGACTTGGCTGCTGCATATGTCATGTCCTGGATTTAATGGGTCTTGCTGCCAGGTGGCTTTGTACCAAGTACTCTAAAAAAGGCAAAAGGTATTTGGCACGCGAAGGCTGCACATTTGTAAAGGCCTTTTTAAAGTAAGGTTAATGTTGATTAACATCAAAATATGGAACCAAAGTGACTTAAAAAGATGAGGGAAGGCAAAGATGAACTGGGCTTGGAGCAGGTGGAGCTGAGGAGACTGGCCAGATGGCCTTCCTTTCTAGGAAGCTGGCCCTTGGACAAGGCTGGAGACGCCAGGTCTCGTTGATGAGACAAAGTATGGTTTACTCACTGGACTCACACATGCCTGCAAGTTTGTTCACCTCAGAATGTTTTTTATCAAGTCAGTAGGCTCCTATTGATGTCTACCAGATTTGGAGGAGAGTGGTGGGTGGAGACAGTAAGACCAGGTGAAAAGCTGGACGGGGAGAAAGGGAAGTTTAATCAACCTCTTTTTAGGCCCTTTGAGTTCTACTGTCAATCAGAGGTCACCTAATCGCTTCACACAGACCTGAGGCTACGATTTCTCTGGAAGAACACAGCCATCGCAAAGACACATGTCACAAAGTGGAGAGGTGAACAATTCTAGAAAGAACCCAGGTTGTTCAAAATATCAGGTACCTATGTTGCTTCAAGGTGGTGCCTACCTGTGCCAATGAAGCTTGTTTCTTAGTGGCCCCCTGAGTGTCTTTCAGGAGGCTAAGTTTCCTTTGAAACATTCCTCAGACAGGTGGAGAAAACCTGACGTGGAAAGGCAAGAGGAAGGCTTCACTGTCTGGAACAAAATGAAGAACACAATGAAAACCCTTGGATATTGGGGTTTTCATTGCTTTCTCTCAATTGGTCTTGATGCTTTTAAGAGGCTAGAGGTTAGCTGAACTAACCTGTGAGAATCCCATTTCTTGCCTTAAGCCCCACCTCTTTGCTGACGGAAGTGACAGGAAGCAGGAAGCAGGCAAAGGCAGGCATGAGGGGGACTGTCTCCCACAGGCTTTGCAGTCTCTCAGTGTGAAGTCAGTGAGAGCTGACAGTCATCCAAGCTGGTGATTTCTACGTGGTGTGTGCTCAAGATGTGGGTGACGGGCCATATTCGGGAGAGCACCCCTCCCTCCTGTGGGTTTGCCTTAGTCTATTTCAGTTCTTTTCCTATTGGTTTTAGTCCAGAAAGTAGCCATGGTTTTCAAGTAGTGCTGGCAAAAAGCTGACTGTGGAAGAGGGAACTTTTCTGCTGGAGCTAAATTTAGGAAGGAGTATTAATAATGCTAACATGTCTCAGACTTCAACACATTTGCTAGTTGTGATCTTAACTAGGCAAACTGGTGTCAGAAAACTGTGGTGACATTACTACTAATTATTTAAGATTTGTGGTGAAATGTTTTAAGCTTTTCCCCAAAAAGCTTCCAGCATCAAGTAGAAAAGGATTATCTCATAGGAAAGACTAAGTTGGTTTTAATGATATTTGTGAGCTGCTTTCCCCCAACACATGGAACAGAAGCTCTGACCTTACAAATAGAAAAAAAAACCTTTACAAACCATATACAGACTCTCTAGCAAAAACCTATCATTTACATTTCATTTCACTCTGTCTAAACTGCAGTCATGGAACTGCTCTATGATCTGTTGGGCCTCTCTTTGTACATAGGTAGGCAGCCTTGGGGCAGCTCAGGCCGGCAGAGGTGACATCTGGCTGCTCTGAGGGGCTGCGGGCGAGAACGGTGGCTGACCTGCAGGGAGGAGACTGGCTGCTGCGCTGGTTACTTACAGCATCTTCCTCGGGCGACTGGGTCCCTCTTCCGCAGGAGGTGGTTCCAATTCAAGATTAGTGAGAGGAAAGGGAATAAAGTGCTTCTCGTAAAAATCACCAAAATAAATAGAAACATTTAATGGCAGAAAGGAAGGTTTTGAAGGGTTATTTCCAAAGAGTTTGCTTCCTCGAACACTTGATCCTTAAGAGTTTTTGGAAAGACAGAATTTCCCCATACCAGCTGAAAGTCTCACGATTCGGTGGCATGAGAGTTGGGTTTTCCTGCCCCAGCCACTTGCAGGTCCCTGTCTGTAAACCTGTGCCCAAACAGCCGCTGAACCTGGGAGCCCACGGTGCCCCCTTCAGGGCAGGCCATGCCCAGAGCTACAGGACTTCATGCCATTGGCCGTGGCGTTGTCAGGCAGCCCGTCCCCTGCAGCGGAGGTAGCCGCTGCTTCGTGGAGGCCCGAGTAGTCCTTGAGCTCGGCGTTGGTGAGCAGGAGGGGCTGCTCCCCCTTCTTGTGCGGCAGGAGCGGCTGCCGCGTGTAGTGCTCCCCATTGGAGATGTTCTCGGGCAGGTTCTGGTTCCGGCTCTCAGGCAGTAGGAGGATGCAGATGATGCAGATGAGCGTGCAGCAGGCGAAGATGATATGGTGCAGGAAGTAGCCTTTCTGGTTGTGCAGCTCGATGATGGGTGCTGTCAGCATGCCGAAGCCCGCGCTGGCCAGCACCAGTCCCAGCCCGCCGCACCTGCAGGAGGGCACAGGCACACAGGTTTAGTGTCCATGGTCAGACCCTGGCACAGAGGGCCACAGTGACTCCCAGAGTGTGGACATGGCTTGACTGGGGCAAGTTCATGACAGACGGAGACGTCCGACTCCGGTGGGGACTGAGGCCCTTGGCCCCCCAGCAGTGCGTCCCACACGTGGGACATCCTAAACCACCTTCACCTGGGCCATATCTACACACCACCTCTAGTTTGGGTAATATTTTTCCTCGTCAACTTTTTAATTTATTTTGAAAGACAACTTTTTAATATCACTGTAAATGGAAAACCAGTATCACTTGCCATGAATAATAAACATACAATGAAAAACCAAATACTATTAAATTATGCTATTTTCCCAAGGCTTGCTCTTCATTTAGAAAAGGGGTAGGGGTGCGGGGAAAGGATTACCAGGAGTTAAAGAAGATATTAAAGACATACCAAACTAATAGACTTTCTCCTTGCCATATCAGAGAGATTGGAAGATACTTAAAAAAAGACAGTAATTTTCTCACTGTGAGTTGTTTATTGCCATGTCTTAAGTATTTCCTAAAATCATTCTGCACGCCACCAGTGGAAGCTGTCCTATCTCTGGGAAATGTGCCAGAAACCAAATGTACTGACAGAAACATTCACTGCAGCACTTGGCTCACAGAGAACTAAATGTGAGCCTAGGACTTGAACGATTTACCTCCACTCCTCTGCCCTATGTGGGAACCTACCAGAAGTTCCCAAGGAAATAGTAGTTATACGACATCTAAAAAAACTGTTATAACTCTACCATCTCATATGACACAAACGTATATTATTGGGGAGAAGGTAATATGTGGACACCAAACGCAGTGCAGTGCTAGGTTGCAGTAAAGGGAACCATGGTGTTCAGGTGACAGGAGTTAATGGTCTCACTGTGCTGTCACTACACAGGCCAGCAGGGCTGCCTGGTCTCAGCTCTGGGGCCACAATGAAGGGGCCAGGTGAAGGGGCCTTGTCTCAAGGAAGTGGAAGTATAGTCGTTTGCCTTGCCTCAGAGAGCAGATCCACGCCAGTGGGCAGAAGGTACAGGGATGCGGATATCAGATGGTTTAAATAACTTTCAAATGGAGCTGCTCAGTAGTTAGGCACCACCCTTTAGTGAATTGACCTTTCTCCTGGATGTGCTCCGAGGGGCTGAAGGGGAGGCCCCTGCAGTGTGTAGGAGACAGGGATGTGAGCTTCCAGCTCCCAAAGAGCCTGTGACTCTCTTGGTTGACACCATAGGTGCCTCTGACACACAAAAATACTGCCCTACAAGGACACAAGATACAAGATCAACAGATAAAAGTCGACTGTATGTCTACACGCTAGCAACAAATAAGCTGAAGATGAAATTAAGAAAACTGTACTCATAATAACATCAGAAGAATAAAATATTCAGAAATAAATAACAAAAGAAATGCAAGACCTCTATGCTGAAAGGTACAAAATGTCAAGAGAAAATTAAAAAAGATAAACAGATGGAAGACATTCCATATTCCTGGATTGGAAGACTCAAACTTGTTAAGATGGCAATTCTTCCTGAATTGATCTATAGATTTAACATAATCCCTATCAAATTCAGAGATGATTTTTTTTTTTTTTGCAGAAAATGATAAGCTGATCTCAAGATTTATATGGAAATACAAAAGACTCAGCATAGCTGAAACAATTTTGAAAGATAACAAAATTTGAGGACTGACTTTTCCAATCTCAAAACTAACTATAAAGCTATAGTAATTAAGACAGTGCGGTATTGGTGTAGCGATACATCAAGGGAATTGATAATTCAGAAATAAACCCTTACATTTATGTTCAACTGATTTTCAACAAAGGCAAATTCAATGACGAAAGGATAGTAGTCTTCTTAACAAGTGCTATTAGAACAATTAGATATCCATGTGCAAAAGAATAAAGTTGGACCTTTACTTCACATCATGTACAAAAATGAACTACAAATGGATCATAGACCTAGATGTAAGTGCTAAGACTATAACAGTTCTGGAAGTAAAAACAAGGAAAAAATCTTTGTGACCTCAGGTTAGGAAAAAGATTTCGTATATGACATCAAAAGCAGGATCCAAAAGAGAAAAAAAAAAAGATCAATTGGACTTTATCAAAATTTAAGAGTTCTGCCCTCCAAAAGACACTCATAAGAAAATGAAAAGATAGGCCATATCCTGGGAGAAAATGTTCACAAGGCATATCTGATAAAGGATATGCCTTTTATATATTGTATCCAGAATATACAAGGGGCTCTTGGTAAGAGAACCCAATTAAAATGGGCCAAAGATTTGAATAGACATTTCTCCAGGAAAACTATACAGACTATAAAATATCCAATAAACACATAAGAAGATGTACAACATTATTAGTCATTAGATAAATGCATATCACAACCACAATGAGATGCTGTTTCAAAAAGACACAATAACAAGTGTTGGCGAGGATGTAGAGAAACTAGAACCCTCTTACATTGCTGGTAGGAAAGAAAAATGGTATAGCTACTATGGAAAAGCTTGGCAGTTTCTTTAAAAAGTTGAGTATAAACTTTTTATGATTCAGCAATTCCACTCCTATGAAACATACAACAACATATGTCCTTACAAAAACTTATCAGTGAATGAATGCTCATTGTAGCATTATTCATAACAGCCAAACATTAGATAGAATTCAAATGTCCATTTGTTTCTCCAACTAGAGAAACAAATATGGCACATCAGATACAGTGGAAGAGTATTTAGCGATAAGAAACATGGGTGAATTTTGGAAATATTTTGCTAAGTGATTGTATGATTCCATTTATATGAAATGTCCAAAGGCGGCGAATCTACAGAGACAGAAAGCAGATTATTGGTTGCCTGGCACTGGGAGTGGGAACAGAGGCTGCAGAGGCTGTGGGGGGAACTTCTGAGGAGCAGGAAATGTTCTACAACTGGACTTTGGTGGTGACTGCACTGAACGTCACTGAATTGTAAACTAAAAATGGATGAATTTTATGATGTGTAAATTATACCTCAATAAGGCTGTTAAGAAAACCCCAGAACTGTTCCAGCTGTAGGGGCTGGAGATTCCTGTTGATGTAAATCCCCCAAACTTCTAGCCTGGGGTAGCCACTCAGGCCTCATCTTTTTTTCCTCAGAGACTGGCCAGGCTTCCCTTTCCCTGTCACCGCTGCTGCTCGGGTGGGGGCTTCTGCTCTGCTTTGCCCACTGTGGGACTGAGCAGCAGGTTCCCCTCTCCAGGGCCTTCTCTGAGGCTGTACTGTCATCAGTGTTGGGAGAGAGTCCCCTGCCTTTGCTACCTGCTGTCCTGTTACAACAGGCCCTCTGGCCAACCAGTCCTGGATCGATAGGGTGATATTAGGGTGATAGGGATGAGGGGCACTCAGGCAGGGTGGGTGGTGAAGACAGGCTGGAACACAGCCTTGCAAACATTTTTTCTCAAAGAACAAAACATAAGAACGACAGTGTGTGTGCATGGGTGGGACTATGTGGTCTCCCTGCCCTGTTTCGTCATGTTTCATAAAAAAAAAAAAAAAAAAGACTTTTTTAAGTTAGGAGTGGCCTTGTTTGTTTGCAGAGGGTGTCACCTCAGGCACAGTGGGGAGGGTTTCCTCACTTTGTGCTCAGTGATTCTGAGTGAGGACGGTTGGGAAACGGTTCCCCTCCTCTTTTGGTTCCCTGAAGGCTAAGGCCCAGGGCATGGTTGGGACAGGGACACCTCATCAGGCACACTGCCCTGGGGACAAAGCCAGAGCCTGGGAATCCCTAACTTCTCTTTCCTTGCCACCTACCTGTCCAACCAGTGACCAGCCCTGATGGCTTCCAGTTGGGCCCATCAGATAACACACAGTTCCTGAGGGGTCCCCCTCTTCCTCTGATCTTCTCATCTGCCTTTCGGGTCCACCCTCTCCCCCTGCACTCTCTCCTTCACTCCTGTGAGGATCTCTCACGCTGGATCTGCTAAGCTCCCTGGGTGTTTCCTGTCCGGTTCTATCCGGTTTCCTCATGTGCTTGTCGAGAGGGAGATGTAGCTTTTCACCTGGGATCCCCATGCCTGGCACAGTTCCCGGCACAAAGGCTTCACTAGTGTTCGCTCAGTTAGATGACTGCCAGGACTGGAGTATTCAGCAGTAAGGGCCGCCCCAGCCTTGAGCAAACCCATCTACACAGGACAGGTCAGAGCGAGCTGCAACAGAGACTCTTCTTGCTACACAGGCGGGAGGTGCAACAGTTAAGAGAACAGGTTCTGGAGCCAGTCAGCCTGCGTCAATTCTGGCTCCACCATCGACCAATTTCACCTCCGTAAGCCTCAGTGAGGATATGTGAAATGGGTGTGAAGAGAGTACGTCAGCCAGGACGGGGCTGCTAGTGTAACTGACGCTGGGGACAGAAAGTGCTGAGTACAGCTTTGCTGCTATTGTCCATCCAGTTATCTAAGCCCTCTTCCCCTTCTTTGTTGGTTCCACAAAGCAGAAATAGTGATGCATGTCTAACTCCTTTCTTGCTGCATTACTATTAAATAAGTGAGCGGGAGGTGAAGGGATGACAGTGGCAAACAGTGGACTGGTTCAGAGATGATGCTGTCTGTGAGAGCTGGAGAGGAGCCTGATGACAGGATCTGAGCTGAGCAAATTCAAGAACTGAGAGGCTCAAGAGAGGAGGAGCCCAAAGCCTCATGGGCCCAAAGCCTCCTGGGATAACGTGGAGACCCAAAGTTTGGGAGAGAGTCCTGGAACAACTTTGGTCCTTCCTCCTCCTCCCTCTTGGCCCTCTCACCCAAGCCCTGCGCACAATGCCTCCTGAAGCTGCTACACACCCACCACCCTCTCTCCCAGAGACCTCTGCATGGGCTGTGTCATCTGGAATGAAGCCTCACTTCTCCTTGCTATTCTTGTCTGCAAGCACCTCCCTTCTGGACCACTTCCTGCTCCATCCCCTCCCTGGAATCTCTAGTCCCAGGCAGCATC